GTCTTAAATGTTGTTTCCGACTGGTTAAAACAGAGTCTGTTATATCCGTGCATTTACCACACAGGTGATCTGTTAGTTTAATTGCTTTATTCTTCAGTGTAGTTAAAAGACAGTGAAAGTTTAGCTTACATATTGTTTATACAAACACTGTTTTACATGGCRATAAGRCTTCATTTTACAAAAAATAAACATAWAAAGGCTGTACAACAACTGTACATAAGTGTTCAACTAAAACCTGAACTTCTACAGACATATTGAGGTCAGGATGAAAACGAGAACTTCACAGCAGTAGTAATTCAGCAGCAAACAAAAGAAGGACATTTTCCACACATAAATAAATATATTGTATAAAATTAAATACATGGTCTATGTATATTTGGGGATTGCTCTTAAGTGGCTCATAGTGCACAWAGCTACAGAGGAGGAGTCATTACTGACACGGGACGTCAGCATTAAAGGGGAGTAAAGAGGAAGACCTGGAGTCTTCTGCTCATGGCCTGAAGTTCTGAGGGTTCAGGTAGACATAGGGGGACCACGAGCTCATGTTCATGTCAAGGTCCTGATCCTCCAGGTTCTCCTCTGTCTCCTCCTCCATGCTGTACACCTCCATCCCCTCCTCATCTGAGCTCAGCCTGCCCTCGCTGTTCCCTCTCTGGCGGATGGTCTCAGGGGCCACCAGCTCCTGGTCCCCCAGCTCGATGTGACACTGCTGGCAGATCCTCAGCGGCTTGGTTGGGTGGATGTGCTCGATCACCACTCGGTTCTTGGAGCAGGCCCCGCAGACCAGGTAGCCGCAGCTGCGACAATGGTGTCGGCGGTTGGCCATGGTGAACTTGAGGGAGCAGCGCATGCAGTTGGGGGAGGCCTCGTCCGGGATCCAGGTGACGGCGAAGTCGGACCCGAGCGTGTGACGGCCGCTCAGGAGCAGCTTGGACTGACAGTCGTTCATGTGCTCGATCCAGGCCTGCTTCTCCTCTTGGCAGGACGCTGCCACGAAGAAGGACTTGCGTGGCGTGCGGATCAGCCAGCGGTTCTTCGAACTGATGCTGTCCTTCAGGTCATCCAGCTGGACGGACTCTGGAATGATGACATAATTTTACAAGAGCTGTCAAAAACGCCATACGAGCATGTTGAGTAAAGTTAGAGAAGAACATTCTGAACTTCTTTAGATCTACTGATCCTCGCAGACTGAAAGGTTTTGCAGAAGATGAGTTTCTCACCTAAAGGGATGATCTGCTGCTTGGTGTACCAGCGGCCGTTCAGAATGATGCTGCCGTACACCAGGATGTCGCTGAAGAGGAAGAAAGCTTTGGGCTGCTGGCCCTTGCGGCTCTGCTTCATCAGCCTGCCTTCTCCAACCAGAATGCGACCGTCCTGGTACAGGGGCTTGCCCCCCGAGCCGAACAAGCTCTCCACAGCCCGGATCCTCTCACGGTTCTCCTCSGCAGAAGTCAGCCGTTCCATGATCTCTAATTCCAATCAACAGGAGTGTTGACACTGCTGCAGTCAGGCGTGTTTCTGCTGTGACAGAGGCCCCGCAGCTGTTTTTATACTCTCACTGCTCTTACGTCACAAGGCTTCTGAAGAAATACAGCTGGAATACAGACCTTATGAAAAGGAAGAAACAAGTGGGAGGGGCTAAGACCAAATTTGCATTTGAAGTAGTTCTACATAAGAAACTCCCCCCATTTCGAGGAAACATGTGTCTGCTGCTGTGCATCAGTTCAGGCTCTTAAATAGGTTTAATTTGCATCCGGGAAATCAGGAAAATACCCAGCATTAATGACTTCATTAATTTTGTGAACTGTGTTAAGTGGTGGTGGAAAGGTAAACAATTCTCCAAGTTTTATGAAAGGCTGTGATCCGTTCGAAGTCAAAAGATTGTTGATTAGTTTTTCTCAGTTGCTAAAACACATTTCTTGAAACCATCCATCCATTTCTCTGAACTGCAAACACAAAACCCAGTTTTCAAACTACTTTCACAGAACCTCTGACTCTTCCAGCAAAACCAAAATCTAGCCTCAATATAGTTCAATAGTTGTCAAATCAGACCTCGAGTCCATCAGATAAAAAACACTACAGAGCAGTCAGCCTACACTCAGCAAGGAAAAAAGAAAATAAGTTCATATCACTTTTGAAATAATCTTTATCGTCCACAAAGGAAAAGGCATTTCCTAAACAAAACACCTGTTTAGCACTTGTAGTTAAATAAATAAATAAATAAATATTCAAACTCAGGTCCTCCACCAGAGGTCTGAAGTTTCAGGGTTCTGAAACTTCTTCTAGACAGATCTCTGAGGTTGTTCCTTGGATCTGTTGAAGTCACTCCTCTAGTTTAGGGGTCACAGCACCAAGTGCTCCAGTGACCACTTGGACTATTGATGCTTTGACTCTCCATAACTCTTGGTATTCRTCCAGTTTCTCGTTCTTCTTCTTCCTGGTGTTTCAGTCRCATGCTCTCTACATCYATCACTGCTGCCTTCTTCTCTTGTTTGTCGACCACCATGTCCAAGTTGGTTAGCCTCACCTGTGGTCAGTCGGGATGTGGGACCTCCAGTTTATATGTTGYGGGAGTGTATAGCCTATAATTARTTTGTTTTTACCTATGTGTAGAAATCCATTACAACAACAAAAGTGCATCCAGTTCTTCACAGTATAAATATTTGGAGTATTTGCTTCTGTGATTTTTTTCTGTTCACAGTGAAGCTTGGATGAGCAGGGCTACTGCTTTGTATTGGTWTGTTCACATCATTTGACACGTGTGTGATCTATTTTGAGTTGCTGTACCTCAGTTCAGACAGCACTGTGTCTCACTTTAGCTACCTGTGCTTTTCATTGTGGAACCCATGTGAATCAAAGGGGAAAATGTGTTTTAGTGGGTGACAATAGGTCTGTTGTGTCTAACTGGGTGAAACGTGCTTAGTGTTCTGACAAAAGGGTGGCCATTTTAATATTTGGGTTTGGAGAACTAAGCAGGTTCAGACAACAGGGTTTAGTGTTTTAACAACTGAGGGAAAACTTTAATGGTATTTTATGCAATAAATTGTTAATCTATTAAGATTTACTGAATAGCAACATTTCAGCAGAGTTGTTTCACGCTGCTGTTAAAATATTAGATTGCTTCGGTTAGTATTTCATGGAAGAGAACAAAACAATATAATTCTCCAACTGAAGCAGCTTTTTTTTGTTATTTTATATCCTTTCTTCCCTTGCATTAAAAATAAACAGATTTAAACTATACAATCAGGCAAATGAGACAAACAGATTTGCAAAGCAACATTGTGAGCCAGGATGATTTTTAGTGACCCAAACAACCATTTATTTAGCAGCACTCCTGTAAAGGCCCCATACTCTTGTCTGCACACAGCACTGAGACATCTTCTGACAGCACATCAGATCTGTAAACCTGTAAATCTGGACGGTTCAGTCTTTATCAGTGAAAACTGATCTGACAGAAACTTCTGTAAACACTCCTCACCCTGGGGAAACACGGTTGCGTGTGAACATGCTGARGACAAACGGGAACCTCTTAAAATTACAATCAGACTGATCTTATCAGTGCATGAGTTGTTTGCTTTTTTTAAAAAAAACAGTAGCAAACCTCGTTAGTGATTTGTGTGATTTTTAATTAGAAGCAGGTTTGAATCTCCCAGTTTCTGGTGCAGAAGAAAAGTCCCGTGTTTGTTTAAGGTTTGGATTGAACAAAGACGATACGATACAATTTGTAGATAATTAGATTGACCTCTCTGGAAACTAAGTAGTTAGCTTAGTTTGTATGTAGATAACCTGATTTAAATCTGACTGACATATATATTATATATACACTGTATAAAGTTTAGTCAGTCCGATTTAGATCAGGTGTCTTTCACAATATTGAAAYGAACTGGATGTAATCAGATCTGAACTCTGTAGTGAAATGCTGCCATAAAAGCTGAACTGAAGGCTTGTGTATTGATTCAAATAGTAAAAACAATAAAACTTTTGTTTTTTATTATATAAAGTCAAAATCAGCTTCCTATAAAAACATCACATAAAAAACTAACTATAAACCATTTTAAAATGTGCTTGAACTAAAATCCCTGGACAAAGGTGTTTTTACCAGAAAAAAGAAATTAAACATTATTTTAAAATGTATTTATTTTACTTCCACCAGTACAGTAAGTGATTACTTAAACTTTATAAACAGTTGAAAAACATATAGACGGATTGTGTTTGACTTAAACTATGGTAAACAAAACCAAAGTTGTAAATGACCTGTCAAAGTAAATGTGGAGGCTGTTACTTACTGTATGTGTGCAACAGAGAAAGGCATGATGTCCCCAGCCTTCCCAATGGTTGCAGATTTGGTGATGACAGATCATCAGAACATCTGGYAGTTTAACAGGTCGTCACAGAACCTCAGGGCTTTTTTTCTTGTAAATTAAGATGTTACAAAAACAGCTGCTGAAATTAAACTCATCTGTCACTGAAGCAAGAGTTAATATAGTTCTGTCCCAATTTCAGGGTGATTTCAAAACTCTCCACTGTTTCTAAAGTGTTGAAAAAGATTGTTTTTGATGCACAGCCAGGGTCCATTTGCTGCACGCTGAGGATTTCTGCAGTTCCTTTATTGGCCAGCAGGAATACAGGAAGCAGTGGYGCTCTGGGCCCTCACAGGTCGATGGTTCCTTTAACTTTAAACTTCTTGGCGGACCGTTCGCTGGCTCGCTGCTCAAACTTGCTTCCATAGATGTGCGAAACAAAGCCRTTAATCTCTACGGCAAAAACACTGTTCTTTTTAGGGATGACTGGGAGGTGAAGAACAGAGAAGAATGAAGAAAAATGTTAAGCTGGTGGAAAGTGACAGTGTTCATGATGCTTCCAGTAACACTAACATCAAGTTGGAACGGATCAGTTCAGAGGCTATGTCTGCATGAAAAAGATGAATTTAACATACGTAAATTAACTTGTACACTGTAAAAAAACATTATAAATATGTTGGACTACAGTACAATCAGGGCATACAACCAGTTAAGCCAAAACCATGTATGTTAGTAGTTTTGAATTAGAAAAAAAAATCACTAAATTTAACATGTTGTCATTTTAAAGTTATGTTCTGTTAAACAGTCACTTTATCAGTGGTGACGTCAGTCTGAGAGGAAAGAGTTCAGAGAACAGAGCAGAAAGCTTCTGGTCSAACCAGGATCTATTTTAAAATGAGGCTTATTAAAACAATGCTCTCAAAAACAACACGCTGCATTGTGAAACCATGAATCACTTTGGGTCAAACATGTGCTGGACATCTCCTTTTCTAAATCCATCAACCAGCTGAAAACAGATCTGCTTTCCGTCACACCTTTCAGCTATAATGCTGGTTTACCCTTTCAGACGCCGCCTTGCTTGACAGCTGGACAGGTCTTTGTATGTTTTAGACACACAGAGGGCAAAGCTGAGTCAGTATTACCTCAGCCTAATATTTACCTCCGCCAAGGAGGTAATGTTTTCGGTTGCATATGTCTGTCTGTCTGTCTGTCTGTCTGTGGACAACATTGCTCAAAAACTTGTGGACGGATTGTCATGACATTTACAACACATGTGGATACTGGACCAACGAACACACCATTAAATTTTGGTGATGTTCCAGATCACGATGCGGATACATGAATTTATTTTCTTTTAATCCTCTCAGATCGGCAAAGCTGTGATGCTCTCACAGGGCTTCTGTAAAAAACTGTGACAGCTTTCAGTGTTTGGACTTCAAACTTTATAAAAGTAATGTTAAAACCAGATGTAATAATGAATAATTCTTGCCACAATGTGCACATTTTTACGCATTTGGTGCACATTTACAGAATGTTTTGTGACCACAAAGTGCGTGACTGCACCATGAAAACTATTTTTCTTATTTCCTCAAACACACCACATTGTTGGTAGACTTGTACACAGATCGATGAAGACTGAGGAAGAGGAGTGACGCGGTGGACTTCAGACTCGGAGGTTGTTTGTTCATTTTTATTATTTAAATGAGGCTAGATCAAGTCGAGAGATGTTTGTGCGCCCCTYTATCCTCCTCTCACCAAACTTTGGGGAAAAAGAATGCACAGAGCGTGGTTGTGACCGCTGTGTGTGTTCCTCACAAAGATAGGAAGACGCGTGTGTGTCTGTGTGATTWCAAGCGCAATGAAAACTCTGCTTTTTTGAATCACGTAGCACCGATGTCAAAGCTTTCAACAATAACGTCGGGTAACGAGTCTGACTTTTTTCCACATTGGACTCCACCGGGAAGAAATTCCGTGCATACTGCCTGCTTAAATGTTCACTACGTCAGAACTTATTCAGCAAATATGTTCCAATCTCTGCTTTTAGTGCATTAACTCTGTTACAGGATGGGGGGAAATTGGACTTAGCGGAGGTTTGCACTCTCCGAGTGCTTCTAGTTATAATTTGGTTAAGAAAATAAAGTTATTTCTTGATACAAGTGATGCAGCTGAACTTATTTTTTATTTGCAATGTCCCTTATTTATTATGTTTCTGAGCTTGCTGTGGCACTCTTACACATATTGACTGTTTCAGCTCTAAGGCTAGATTCACACTGCAGGTTCACTGACTTTCACTGACTTTGTGCTCAGACCTCATTTCTAGCTTGGTTGCGCACGTTATACTTTAAATGCAACTTCCATTTGACTCCAGTCCACAGGCAGCCCTGAAGCAACCTGTGTGTGCAGAAGACGGCGTGACGTCAAACATAAATATGGATGCTACATGTTAGCATGTCTGTGTCAAAACTGGAGTCGTGCAGTTGAGAAAACATTTTTTTTGCCATGCTTGTTTAATTCATTGTTTGCATTTGATCTTACTGCTTYCTGGCTACTCAGAAGCAAAACTGCATTTCTGGAAGGTGAGTGACGAACTGAAAGCAGAGTCAAGAAACAAACTCAAGCATCATACTGCTAGCAATACAATCTAACATGCTGGTACACCAACATTAGCATCGCATGTTGGTTTAAAATCTCAGTCATACAGGACGTGACAAATATAGAAAGTTAAAATAATAATAATAATAACAAAAAGACAACTGTAGTCACTTTGAAAAACAATGGATATGTATCTGATTTAACACCACATATGAAAAAGACCTGCACTGGATTTGAAAAACAAATAAAAAAAAAACTGTGTTGTCACACTGAGATTGTCATAAAAAAGAAATCAAATTTAAGGTTGCATTTGGGCAAACAAAAACAACAAACACAAAATCTAATTTGGGTCACTTGCACCTGTAGTGTGAATATAACCTAAGACCACCTCTCCTGAAGGATCAGAGGCAAAAGAGCAGCAGGTTGAATTCAACCTCCTCCCATGATGCTTCAGTTCTTATTAAAAGGTTTGGCTTGAAAGAGAAGCTTTAGATAAAACCTAATGCAATAAGCTGTGTCTGTGTAATACAGTATAACAATTTTGAATTATATATATATATATATATATATATATATATATATATTTTTTTTTTTTCAAATAGCTCAGTTAGAAAAGCTGACAGATCTAGTTCACATCAGAACCATCTAACTGTGTGGAAGGAGAAAAACAAACAGCTCATCTTTCCCAGCTGTCAGTATCAGGAGAGCTGGAACCAGTTCCACCAGAACAACCTGCATCCATCTCACTCTTATCTGCTCCAGTCGGTCTTTTAGGTCACCTGTGAGCTATTAAAAGAGTAAATGTGTTTTGTTTTGTTCTGTTCTTCTGCCACGTAATCTGAACCAGGCATCTAACCTTTGAGTYTGTTCTCCTCAGTGATGATTTTGAAGATGTGTTTGAACTCCTGCACCAGAATCCCTGTAGTACCTACGTATGATGGACATTTCGACCGCACCACTGTGACAAAGCAAAAAAAAAACTAATGTTAGTACATTTTTCTGAGGTGCTCACGTGTACACAGACAATTAAAATACATGCAACACAGCTATTCCAATGGTRCCACAAAAACAATGAAAACCACTGCAGATTCAAGCAGCCGTGACTTCTCTGCAGAGAGGTAGAGTAAGCTCAGAACAAAGTGATCAGAACAAAGGTTTAGCTAACACTGGGAACACTTTGTTCAGAGCTGTAAGGGAATAAAAGCTCCCAGATCAAAGGTTAGGACTGCTCTATAACTAATATCTTCATAGTTCAAAACTTTAGCACAATTCACAATTTAGATGTTGCTTTTAATTTGCTCTGACTCACATAAAAGTTGAATCCAAGCCTGTTATGAATAAAATGCATCAKTGTTGTAACTCTGATACTATCTACAACTCAAGTGTTTTAAATGCTATTATAGGGGAATAAATCAGACAAATTAAATGTATTTTTATTTTTATTTTAAACCAAGCAGCTGCACTTTAGAGCGCTTAGATTTTTTTTTTGTGGCTCAGTTTTTGGCAACCTTTCAAAAACACCTGATGCATCAAAATAGCAGATAATACCAACTAGCTGGTATGACTGCAGGTTCTCTTAAACATGGTGTGTTGATTCAGTGACATTATAAACCTTTTYATTTGAGCCATTTTTAATTTATTTATTGTTAAATCCTTTGTGATGTAATGGTGAGAAAGATAAACATTGTTGTTGCATCTCTGAGGAATTAGGTTTTTAAAAATTACAAAAGCCCTTAAAATGACCTAAAACTAGATACCGCATAGTGGTAACATAATTACCACCGCACACAGAAACGCACCGGAACTCATAAGTCTTTATTCCTAATAAATGTCATGCTAGGTGCATCCCAAAATTGTAGTGGTTTGGGTGGGGGTCTTTTTTTTGGGGGGGGGGCATTGGTCGGCCTGATGGATAGCCCCTCATCAGAGCTAAATAACAAAAGAAAATCTGAAGCTCCTATGTTTAAT